TTGATTTCTGATAGCTTTTTGAATTCAACCTTAAAATGCAGGACCCCTTTTTCATATAATAATAACACTAGATTGTTCTTTTCTTGCTACTAATAGGGGTGGTTGTATGGCTTCTAACTGTTAAATATTTGTTGCCCCATTTCAGGCAGAACTACTTGACCCTGCAGTAAAGGGAACCCTTAATGTTCTTAATTCGTGTGCGAAATCCCAGTCTATCAGACGGGTGGTCTTGACATCTTCGATTGCCGCAGTTGCATATAACGGAAAACCTCGAACTCCTGATGTAGTTGTTGATGAGACTTGGTTTACTGATGCAGATGTTTGTAAGGAATCAAAGGTATGCATGTGCCATCATCATTATTCATACTCTTTTGAAAATAAAATATGGTGATGCACTTTGAGTCGTTACAATGTAATGGTACAGAGGTAAATGAGTATATCAGCTAAATTTGGTTTTGATTTCCTGAGAGTTGACCAAACCAAAATAATATGATTGCAAGTCTGCTTGTTAATGAATGAACAATGGATTTGTTAACGGATGATGAAAGTTTAGCAATGAAGAAGAAGATAGGGAATTTTTTAAGTGACAAGAGAAGCCGGTTCCTTTTTCCCATGCACATTTTCTAAAACCAAGCTGTAGTTTAAGTATATTTTCTAAAATATTTAACCTTGTGAATTATTTATAGGTTAGTACATATGTATTCATATGTGTGTATGTGAAATTACTAACAAGATGGTTTGCAGGGGCCTAATTAATTGTGCCTGGGAAGAGAACATAATCTTCTCTTCCTTCTTACCCAATAGGATTTTAGTATCATAGAACGCTTTTTGGGAGAAATTTCCAGTTTCCTTATTGTAAGTTCAGAAAGCATGTATGGTGAACATGAAAGTTGTTTGTATGTGGCAATATCTTCTTAATCTCTCAATCTGTGATGTTAACTTTTTATGTGCTTTTATCATAAACTCTGAAAACTTAAAAGTTGCTTTAACTTGGGCTTTAGAAATGAAATTTCTTCAGTGCTTAATGGTTACTTAAGATTTCATGTTATTTTATTAAGTTGCTAAAACCAGTTTTTGTTTTTTTGTTTTTTGTGATTGAGGGGTTCCCATGCCCATAATTATAATGTAGTCACCAAACATGAAGGTAGTTTGTTGTGTCCTTAAAGCCATTTTCATTTGCTTCATGTTTAATGATGTTGTTCACCAGACAATATCATGTCAAACCTTAAAGGCTTAAATGCTTTGTCAAAGATTAATTTTTTTGGCTTGTGCATTCAATAAAATATGGTATCTTTACTATTGTAACAAAAACATATTTTCATTTCTTTTTATGTTCCCTTAATTTTCTCCAGCTATGGTATGTGCTTTCAAAGACTTTGGCTGAGGACGCTGCCTGGAAATTTGTAAAGGAGAAGGGTATTGACATGGTTACAATTAACCCTGCAATGGTGATTGGTCCTCTGTTACAGCCAACACTTAATACAAGTGCTGCAGCAGTTTTGAATGTTATTAAGGGTAACATTTCTTCATTGTTGTATCTGGTATTTCTTGATTTCAACAAGTAAAATGTTTCCTGCTCAACATGATTGGAAAAATGTCTGCAT